TTTTTGCGCCCAGATTTCACATTAAGCATCATTAATTGAAACATTAATATTATTATTACTGCTGCGAATTGGATAGGGTAAACAATACGGCAAATTATCAATGTCTGGTTTCTAAAAACACTTCCGTTCAATTTTTGAATTAGTAATTTTTTTTAAAGAAAATTAATACTTTCATTCGGCAAGGATGCATTAAATTGCTCAAAAATGACTGTAAAGACATTCACAATGTTACGAAAGATTACCATTACAAATAAATGCTGTTCTTTTGAACATTCTATACAATATTGCTGTTTTTACTGTATTTTTTTGATCAAATAAATACAGCATTGGTAAGCATACTTCTTTTAAAAACATCTTGCTGACCCCAGACTTTTAAACAGTAATGTATATTGTGTGGTCCTCTATGTATGCCTAATATGGATATCGGATGAATTAATGGCAAAATACCAACTATAGGCATCTGGCCTATAATGTCAAAAACAACAAAAGATATGCAAACCATTTCTTTCCTCCCTTTTAAAGGTTGATAAGTCCAAGTATGTATTTTCCTATCCTAAATGCCTGTTCACACCAAGAACGATAAATATAAAGATAACGATATTAGCGTCCACACCAGCAGACCATATAGACTGTTTATTCTAAGCGCACACTCGTCTGCCGCTTTAAATTCTTGAGCTCGTTACAGCAGGATGGATTCTGATTGGCTGTCAATGTTTTTATTGTTCATCAGCTGGAAAAAATTGTTCTGAAAGTGATTCCAATGTCTTTTCTCTGTGCCTATATCGTTATAGCTGTGGTGTGGACTCTGCCATGCTTTAATATTGAGAACGATTTTTAGAACTATATCTATATCTTAAAGCTGCGCAAAAAATCAAATGCGATTTTCATGCACATCTCGTCAGTAAAGCCGCTCCTGTGATTAGTAGTAAATCTCCAGCACGTGCGTTCAGATGGAGCGTAGTTCACTGACAAGCTACAGAAAATCGCGTTCAAAATCGGCAATGAATCGCCTGCGATTTTGAACGCGATTTTCTGTAGCTTGTCAATCAGTCAATCAATTCAGTTTTTTGCACAGCCCTACTTTATCGTTATCTTTATAGTTATCGTCCTTGGTGTGAACAGGCCTTAAAGTACAATTGAATGATCTTAACATTTTGTCCTGGCTGTCCATGACAGTGTTTGACATCAGTGCTGGTAATGGTCTTGCCTTTATAGCCTGCATGTTTACAAACTCTGAGCAGTCTGACTGTCCTTTCGGAACATAAACTGTGCTTTTCAGGCTACATCATGATGCAGTTAACACAAAAACTCCACCACCAACCCACATCCTGGGCGCCACATTCATAACACCATCTGTATGATTGCAAACCTGAAGCACTTATCTGCAGAAACAGCTGAACCCCGTGCAATAAACTTCTAGACCAAACTTCTGCCAAGTCATACGATGTGGTTTACGAGCACATTAATAAAGCCAGAAAAGGCCAACTATAAACGATAATGAGTCTCCACATTCAGTCATATGTAAACAGGGCTGATTGAAGTCTTAAATTCAGTTTTAAGCTTGTTTCAAAAAAGTGTTTAAAGATAAGCAAAACATTTATATAAAAATGTGTTATCGAGAAATTGTTGTAATATTCTAAATGCCATTTTCCGCTGCAATTTCAGTAGATATTTTTTATGTTAACAAATTAAGACCTTGATCAGAATAAGGATGATGTCCTGATGAAGCATCAATGCAAAAAGTACTCTCTTTTTTAAAAGTAATAAACAAACTACACAAATAGTGTACAGCACCATTCAAAAGTATGGGGTTAGCAAGATTTTTTTTTTTTTTTAAATAAATTAATATTACATATTAAAATGTAAATAAAATTAAACGCTGAATAAAGCTTATTTAGCAATGATGCATTACATTGACCAAAAGTGACTTTTTACAAACCTTTTTTATACATTTACAAGTTTTATTATAGATGACAATTAAATTATGTAAAGTATCATTAAATTAATAACAATTCAAAATACATATTTTATATATAATTGCCACTAATTAATGTAGTTTTTTTTTTTTTTCATAAAACAAAATAAAAACATAAAAAAATAATAATGCATGACCTCTGTGGGTTTCTACATGTGCTGCTATGAATTTAAAATCAAACAAGTTAGAATATTGTGATACTATTTAATAACCATTACCTAGTTTGAAAAAAAGTCAATCTTTTTACGTTAATACAAAGACAGATATTATTTTATTATATATAATTATTATTATTTATTTAATAAAAATCTTCTAGTTAATTTAAAAACAATAAGGGGGGGGGTGCAATACTGTTATACTGACAATTTTCATAACTGCATTACACCAATCAGAACAATATTTTCTACAGCAAAGAAAACTTAGTGCTAAAGGTGCTTAATTGTCATGAAAATGATGTCACAAAAGAAAAAAAAAAGCTTAATCCTAAAGATTTTGAATCCTAAAACGGGATATTCTTTACGTGCAACATAATTTCTTTTTTCCTTTTGATTTCTGGATGAAATATATATAGAGATTTCTTTGTGATTCAACCATTTACCAGCCTGAGGATATTTGCTCACCGAGAGGAAGCTTGTGTCAAAGTGCAGCAGTGTCATAAACATAAGCACCAGCAGGACTCTGCCACCCAGCTGCATGTACTGTTTCGGAGAGCTTTCTCTCATAGTGGGAACCCCAGCAAACATACTCCTGCCCTCAGAGCGCGACTCTGCAAGCAGCAGCAGCAGCCCTCCACCCAGAGCCAGATTCCTGAAACACAGGCGAGAGAAGTCAAGAACGACAAGATCAGAGCACAAAACACAGGATGATCTACTCACTCCAAGCTTAGCCTGCAAAGAACTTACCTCATCAAAAACTTTGGGTCCCAAAGAATGCTATAGGCAACAGTCTGAAACAGATAAAGCTCAGGACTGTAATTATACAGTTTAACTCAATTAGAGTCCTATCCAAAGATAAGATCTAATTACAATCTTAAAGAACACAAACAGAATGCTCTCGGTCTCACCTGTAAGGCGATGATCCCAAATAATCCGAAGCAGGCATACTGCACAAAATTCCTGCTCAGGATCAGTATACAACCACCTGTTAAACACATAAACCATTCCATATAACAATCTAAAGATGTTCCAAGTCGCCAGAGACATTTGCGTTGAACAAACTTCTTACCCAGCTGTCCGAGTAAGTTGATTAAAACAAACAGTGTGGCCAGGAAGAAGCCACATCCCCACGTCGTCTCGATATATTCTTTCTGCTCACTCCACTGGAACCACATGCGAATGCCGTCCTCCAGGAACGTGCTAATCAGACAGAGACGCGCTATGTGGGGCAGGTACTGCTTCGTCACTCGAAGGAACTAGAGATGAACGAAAAGACAAAGATATGAAAATCCTCAAACGTAGGTATATGCAGCAGCAACAGTAATGCTTGCTTCAGCAAACACAAATAACATGTAATGTCATTCTGAACGCGACTATATTTATAGCTATAATTTCTGATGAAAAAGGCACAGCTTTATGATCATGTACATGACTACAATTAGAGCACACATCCTAAGTCAGCATAAAGGACCTTGTTGAGATACACTACCGTTCAAAACGTTTGGGGTCAAGGCCATCAGTGTCATCATCGTCTCAGCTTATTTATGGCCTAATTTTCAATGTCATTTTAGTAAGTTGATTAAACCCCAGCCAGTGACAGCTAACTTTATTGTCATTTTTTTTAAGTGTAGTTTTATCACACAGCAACAATATCAAAAATCAAATTTTTGTTCATATAAGTCTCATTCAGCATTCCTGCCTTTTTTGACACGTAGCATGTATTCATTTAAAGAAATTAATACGTTTAATTCATAATGTTAGAGATGATTTATGTTTCAGATAATGCCATTTCAAACATTTTGGGTTCACAAAAATATTAAAGCAGCACAACATTGATATTAAGAAATTCCTTGAGCACCAAATCATCATATTAGAATGATTTCTAAAGGATCATGTGACACTGAAGAGTGGCGTAATGCAGGGCTCTACAGTGCGACCATTTCGAAAACTACTGCGTGCGACTATGAAATAATATTTAGGAGCACCTGTGCGACTGACCCGGTCAGCATATTTGTGTTTGCGCTGAGGGAGCTTCAAATGTTCTAATATACGTACGTGTTTCTGCAGCGTTGAGTAATGTATCACAGACATATCCTCTCATTATAACAAACACAGTGTTGACGGGGTGTAAATAAGATAGCCTATTCATTGTGCAGTGTAGAGAGCTTCGTCGATTATAATGGAGTTTTGTGAGATCTGGATAAACTAAGATGAGTGACAGCTTTTAATGATTATTAAGGGAGTTTGCAAATGTGATATTGATTTAATACAACAGTTAATTAAACAATAAGTTAATATTAAGTGACTTATATTGTCAGACAACAACACAATTGCCTTATTTCGCTCTATTTCATCAACGAAAATAGTTTTTTTTTTTAAAGTAACAGCTGAGCCGCTGCGCATCTCCATTCAAACACAGCGGTGATTCGTTTATGAATGAACTGCGTTTTTAAACGAATCTAGTGAGTCAATGATTCAATTACCCATTCATAAAGACAGTCACGTACTTCGTTCCTGAATGATTCAGTTGTTCGAACGAATCAACTGAATGAATGATTCAGTTGTTCGAACGAATCAATTGAATGAATGATTCAGTGATAAAATCAGTGACTTGACGCCACCTGCTGGCAGTTTTAGTTTAATTTTTAAAGCATATTTTCTGTTATTTAAATCATTTCTATATTCAAAATGTTATATTTAAAACATTAACCTCAACATGAATTTATGAATTTAATAGCACTCATGCGACCTCTGAGCCTCATTAAACGTCTGAAAATACACATACAAGCCACTTGTGTGTTCTTCTGTGCCATCTCTGTAGCACAAATTTATTTCTTAAATACTGATTTCATTTGATTGGTAACTTATTCTTATTCTACTTCTTATTCTACTTGTTTTTATTCTGTTGTTTTAATTAGGAAAGTTAAAAAGCTTATAAATATATTTTTTAGATTTTGACAAAAGATGACATACACAAGTTAGAAAAATGCCATTACAAAAGGTAAAAACAAAATTCCCTATAAATCCTTTTGAGTCAACTATCACCTCGTAATGGGAAGGTACATTTTTTTATCTGAATTTTTTATTACTGATTAGAAGGTGCTCCTAAATTTTTAACCGAGCTCCTAAATTTTTTTTTAAGTAGGAGCACAAGCGCTCCTAAATGGAAAAGTATCCGTAGAGCCCTGTAATGAAGCTGAAAATTCAGCTTCGCATCACAAGACTCAAATACATTTTATAAATAGAAAACAGTTATTTCAAATTGCAATAAAGTTCACTATTTTACTGTACTTTTAATTCAGATAAATGGGGCCCTGATGAGCATTAGAGACATATTTCAAATACTTTTTTTTTTTAAAAAGTCAACATAAGAGAAGGACATTTATTAGTCTAGAAAGCTATTATAAATCCATCCAAGTGTGAATATTTTAGATTTACACAATCTTCATATTACCTCCAGCCAAGCGCCGAAGCAGCTCTTCAAATGAATGCTGCTTAATTTTTAACCTCTGAGCTCCAATTACCCTTTTCCCCACATTTTCAGTCAACATCAGAGCACAGATGGCCAAAAGCACATCCATTTGAAACTGATGACTCATGAGCACAAGTGTTACGTCTCCAGCATTTGAATATCACTGCGGTGTGCTAGTAATCAATCTTTTCCACTTCCTCCTGCAACAGGTGATGAACAGAAATATTCAGAGATGGATAAAGATACTGCAATTTACTCTTCCAGGAAGATCACAGGATATTATATGCTCACTGCTTAACCTGTAACATGAGCTGGCTTGTTGAATGAAAGTAAGAAAAGTAAGAATTAATAATATGCTTTTAATAGACAACGGTAAATTATAGAATTCTGTTATTTGTGATCAAAAAACGAGCAGATTGTAGGATTACTAAAATGTATATAATCTGCCTATACATGGCAGGGTTTCATAATAACTGGACACTCTAACGCAAGCTTTGACACTGGCCTCTGCTATAAGCCCCGCCCCCGGACCATCCACATCAGCACTAAGAAGAAAACGAGCCAATCAGCATTCAACAAGTACCAAGCAAGACTAAATGAATGAGAAGAGACCTCAAGGCCACTGTCTGCCTGTGTGTCAACACTTTACTCGCAGTCTGAGTGCCTGGTGGTTGTTTGACTTGTTTCCAAACAGCACAAGAATATCAAAGAGTACAGATTTGGACTCGTGCTACATGTCAAAAAAAGGCAGGAATGCTGGATGAGAGTTGTATGAACAAATGTGATTTTTGATATTGTTGCTGTATGATTAAACTACAATAAAGTTAGCTGTCACTGGCTGGGGTTTAAGTTAATCAACTTACTAAAGTGACACTGAAAATTAGGCTATAAACAAATATGCTGAGATGATGATGACACTGATGGCCTT